CTAACCAACGGCGAAATGGAGGAGAGGAGGGCTATTTCAATTTTTTTTTTTTGGTACAAAGAGAGGAGGCACAAGCCTAAGACCATCAGATAGTTATAGTCCGTGGGTGAGCAATGCCAATGAAGTCATGTTGTACCCACGGTTTAACTACGGATGGTGGATCGAATAATCTCTGACAGCCAGTAAGACAACGATGAGCTAGAGACGCCAAACAATCGGCCGCAAAATTAGCTTCTCTATAACAATGAGACACTATAGTTACCCATTCCATGCTGAGCAATTCCAAGATGGCCCAGACCAAGCTACCATGAACTCCAAAGTTATCCGTGGAACTACCTTTCACCATGGACACCATCCCAGACGAAGTTAAGAGAGAGCCATCCGTATTGACTTTGACAGCACCAGCTCAAGGGGGTTCCCAGCGAATGAAGTGGACTTCACGTCAAACTCCAAGGCCACCGAAATGTTTCTCAGCAGTGGTGGCTAGTTTGATTCCGCGAACGAATGATCCAACCTCACGAACTTTGTTAGCAACAATAAACTCTGTGTCTGAAAAAATCTTTTCATTTCTTCCTCTCCATATTTGCCACACCGTGACCCCAAAAATAGTTTCCCAGTTAACGACTCCAATATTCAAGCCATTTTGCAGATTCTGTAGCAACCAATCCCGTACCTGCAAATTAAAAAAATCATGGTGGTGGACAATAGAGATCAAGCTCTGCCAAACCTGCTTTGCACCCACACAATCACGAAGACAGTGCAAGGTTGATTCATCGTGCCGTCCACAAAGTGTGCAAATCGAAGACCCTGTGAGATGCCGCCTTCACCGCTCGACATTGGTTAGCAACTTTTCTTGAAAAACAACTTCGTCTCGGACGGGCGTTGCAGACGCGGGTCAGCAACGAGGTGTTCGGGCGCGTGCGGGTGCGGCACTGCAGCTTTCCTATGCCTGGGCAGACTGGCACTCGGGCGTGTGGGATCACACGGGCGTGCACCGCACGTTTCCTTGGCGTGCGTGGACTAGGGCGCGCGTGCTTCTCATGCTGGGTAGCGGGGCGCGAAGAACACGAGCGGCGGTGCGCGAGCAGGTAGGCAGGCTTGGGAGCTCGCGGGATCGTCGTTGGGACTGGACACCAGCGACTGGCTACGTGCGGCTGCGACTGTGAGCTCGCGGCTGCGTGCGGCTGGACGCTGGCAGGGTTCCGGCGGCGACGATTTCCGGCGACTCACGATGGTAGTCGACGGTGGCGGACGGCGGTGGATCTGGCCGGAATAATTAAGATTAAAGGCTTGAATATATAGTACCTTAAGATATTCTAATGTATTATCTAAACTCCTACTTCGACTAATCTTGGTGGTGCGATTAATCGAAACTCCCGAACTCTCGAATATATGAAGAACACGATTTCCTCTTCCTATTGGAACCTTAAAATCGAGCTCACCAATGTGTAGGGGTAGAGGTTGGGACATAGTGTATTTATTGACTACATTAGGTTCCTTAAAGAGGTGCTAAATATGGGCTTATCCCATTAGGTTTAGGAATCCTAATTATGTTTCATATTCTTTCCAATCTAGAAGTCCTATTCCTCTTAACCCAAATCACCCTTCTAGAAGACTCCAAAGTCTCCTAACCCTAGGGTAATATTCTAGAAAGAATATTCCTCTCTTAATGGAATCTAAATTTTAGAATATAATTAATTCTAATTCCTAAATAGAATTAAATAATAAAATATCTCACTAGAGTAATATTATTGCTCTCCCCATTTGGCTCTAATTTATTCAACAAATTCAAACCTCCATTTGATTAATTAATATTAATCTAATTGATCGATTTATCTCTCTATGCTTAAGATATAACGTCCGCCGATTAATTTAATTAGTGACGATAAAATTAAATCGACTTCTTTCATTTTCGAAACTAGTACCACTCAGTTCATAAATCATTATGTCGGATAATTATC